CGCCACTTTCCGGCCAGATTTCTAGCCCCACCTTTACGCCTGCACCAACGTCCACGCCAAGGCCGACGAATACGCCTCTGCCTGCATTGAAATATGACAGGAGCTTGTTGCTATTTGGGCCCGAAGATGGTCAGTTGGAGCACGATCCGGACGACGGAAGTACAGAAGTATACAGCGCCTTGTCAGCGCCGCGTGCTATTTTGGTTGAAGCAGTCTTTCACAACCCCCACCCTGATGCCGATACATACTGGTCGCACGGATTTCATTTGAAGAAAGGCAGGTCTAATCACTCCTATTGGGTAGGTATCAAGAGTACAGAAGTTTGGAGACACTTTTATCGACTGGGAAGTAGCGAGCAGCGAGCCAACCGGGAAATCAATACCTCTGACATAGACACGTCACCAGGTGCCTCAAACCTCTTGCAAGTTGTGCAACTCGATGAGGTTGGCTGGGTTTACGTTAACGGGGTGTACCAGGGGTCATTTGCTATGGACGCCGACACCGGTGGGGATCAAGTAAGAATATATGTGAGCGACAAAGAGCCCGGGCTTACCCAATTTGAGGATTTCACGGTTTGGAAGTGGGATCCGGTAATGTACCGTGATTTCCCTGAAGTTGATCCAAGCTATGTTCCGCCAGCCACGTCCACTCCCTTGCCCACGGCTACCCCTGACCCACTCGTCCCAATCTTTGGCCCCGTGAATGGGAGCATACGACATGAGGAGGCGGACGGAAGGTTTGAAATTTTCGATGGCCCGAACATCGACGGAAATGTTATGGTGGAGATCACCTTCGAGGTTCCATTCGCACCCAACGAGTCCCATTGGAACTTTGGCTTGTGGTTTGATTCCGAAAAGCCCGGAGCGTTCCACATCGTGGACATTAGCGGAATCTTCGGCGGCGCATACAACCACTGGCGGAAGTCTGGTCCCGACGCGGAGTGGCAGGGACGGAGGTCGGAAGATGTTGTCGGCATCAACCTCCAAAAGGGAGAGAAGAACCACGTCCGGGTTATACTGATAGACCGGGAGGCATGGTTGTACGTCAACGACAGGAGAATGGGAATCCTGAATTTCTCACTGGGTGACATCCCGTCGCCGAATTGGGTGGGTCTCGTTGTTGACGACCGAGACTCTCAGGGAGCTCGCTACAGTATGGTCGGGAGCACCAAGTTCGAAGACTTCACCGTATGGCGGTGGCACCAGTCTCTCTTCGAACTGCCGGACGACAACTAGCGGAAAGGGAGGGTCTAACCCCCCAGACCCGCCATCCGCCGCATAACGGTGTAAAGGATGGCAAAGTCCTGGTCGGAATAGCCTTGGGCTCGGGTGGCGTTCAGGAATTCGTTGGTGATGGAACTGGTGGGCATGGGAACTTCCAGTTCGCGGCCCATGTCCAAGGCCAGCATCAGGTCCTTTTGGATCATCGTCACGTCGAACAAGGGTTCCTCCGGCGGATCAATGGCCAGGGGGAAACGATACTTCAGGGCTGGCGAGGCCACCACACTGTTTAGCAGGGCCGTCATCGCCGCTTCCCGGGGGATGCCGCTCTTCTCTGCCAGTAGCAGGCTCTCGCAGAAGGACAGTATCTGGATGGGCAGGCTCAGGTTAACCGCCACCTTCATAGTCGCCGCCAGACCGTTCTCCCCCACGTAGTCCACGGTGGGGCCGATGTCCTGCAGAATCGGCTTCATCGCCTCGAAGACCTCGTAGTCACCGCCTACCATCACCGAAAGCTGCCCGGCGTCCAGGGTCACTGCGCTGCCCGACACCGGGGCGTCCAGCATTTGCGCGCCACTGTCCTTAACCCTTACCGACAAAGCTCGGCTGGCCGCGGGACTCACGGTGCTCATGTCAATGTAGACTTTGCCCGGACCCAGGGCCGCCAGCACGCCGTCCGGCCCCCCGGTTACTGCTTCCAGAGCCTGGGTGTTGCTGACCATGGTGAAGGTAACGTCGGCGGCCTCGGCAACCGCGCGGGGTGTTTCGCCCCAGAGCATTCCCATTTCCAGCAGCCAGTCGGCGCGGGACTTGGTGCGGTTGTATCCAGTTACGGTGTTTCCTGCGTCCAGCAGTCGCCGGACCATTTTGCCGCCCATCGTGCCCAAGCCTATGAATCCAAGGTTAGCCATTAGTCACCTGCCAGGTGTGTAGTGTGGATTAGTGCGGGGAAGATGTTAACACAAGATGTGGAGGTGCGGGACTGGGGGCTGAGAAACGCCCTCACCCAGCCCCTCTTCCTCAGGAAGAGGGGCGAAGGTGTTCGTCGCCGGAAAGGGTTCGTGCTCGAGAAAGCCGACGTGGGTCAATCGCCCTTCACGTTCAGGATCTGACCGAAGGTGTGTACCACATCCACCAGGTCCTTTGACTGCTCCATAACCAGGTCGATGTCCTTGTAGGCGCCAGGCAGTTCGTCCAGAAATGCCTCGGACCGGCGGACCTCGATGCCCTGCATATCCCGGTCAAAGTCCTCCATGGTGAACGTGCGACGGGCGCCGCCCCGGCTCATGCGGCGGCCGGCCCCGTGAGGCGCGGTGTTGAATGACGACCCGTTGCCTTTGCCCCGCACGACGTAGCTTCTGGTGCCCATGGAGCCGGGAATCAGACCCATCTGTCCTTCCTGCGCCTCAATTGCGCCCTTGCGGGACACCAGAATGTTGGCGCCGAAGTGGTGCTCCCACTTGGTAAAGTTGTGGTGGCACTCAATCCGCTCCTGTTCCTCGAACTCGCCCAGCCGGTGCGCCAGAATTCTCAGGATGCGCTCTGTCATTTCGGCCCGGTTCAGCAGGGCGAATTCCTGGGCCCACTCCAGGTCCGTCAGGTAGTCGTTGAATTCCTGGGTGTCCTGTACCAGGTAGGCCAGTTCTGGGTCAGGCAATTGTATAAACCATCTCTCCATCAAAGCCTTGGCCGCCTTGATATGGAAGTCCGCAAGCTTGTTGCCGATGCCACGGGAACCCGAATGCAGGAAGGTCCAGACCCGCCCCTCTTCGTCCACGGTCAGCTCAATGAAATGGTTGCCGGACTCCAACGAGCCCAGTTGCCGACGCCAGTTTTTGTCCCGCTGGTTGTAGAACTCCAGCCGGCCAGTCGCAGCAGCCTTGGCTTCCAGTTCCTCGATTCGGGGCTTGGCGGTCTTCTTCACCGACCCGTTGTAGCGTCCGGCAGACAGGGGAATCTGGTGCTCAATGGCCTCCCGTAATTCAGACAATTCCCCGGGCAGGTCGGCTCGGGTAAATGGTGTTCGGACGGCAATCATGCCGCATCCGATGTCCACGCCCACGGCTGCCGGTATGATGGCCCCGCGGGTGGGTATGCAGGAGCCAACTGTTGCCCCCAGCCCAAAGTGGCAGTCGGGCATCACCGCTACGTGCTTGAATATGAATGGCAGCGAGGACAGGTTGCTCACCTGGTCCCGGGCACCCTGTTCTATCTGGTCCTCGGGGACCCAGCTCAGCGTCTTGTCCCCAATCTTTGTGGGAGGCACCTCTGTCTCACCTCCTTGCGTCTTTTTCAGGGCACCTGTCCCGTCATGGTCTTGTTCCTGAGTGGGTCGGGGATTCTTGCGAACATTACTTTCAGTGTTGACCGCCCATGGGACAGTTACAAAAGACCCCGGCTCTGATGGGGCATCTCCGGCTGACTCTCACGGGAAAGCCTGCCAAAAACCATCGGCCTGGGTCTCGGTTTCAAGTCCGAATGTCGTTCGCTGCGGGTGCGCCCTGTTTCGTCCTTTCTCTGCGTTTCATAAATTATACTCCCGCTATCGGCGGACTGCGATAAGGTGCGTGCAGCCGTACGGATTCCTGAAGCCCCGGGGCATCTCTCCACCCCTGTCCCCAAGTGGACTTGAGTCCGGCGCTGGACTATTATTGGGCCTGATACCCGTACGATTGACCCCTGGGACTAGCGGAGGTAGGAAGCAATGGCAGATAAGGGAGTCCTGGATGGCGTGAGAGTCCTGACCCTGGAGCAGGTACACGCCCTGCCTTGGGGTACCGGCTTCCTGGCCGACCTCGGCGCCGATGTTATCCGCGTCGAGAGTCCCGACCACCTGCAGGACCGAAAGGCCGGCCCCTTCCCCGACGGCCAAGCTGGCGAGGAATGGTGGAACGAGGGCGGCAACCTGGTGTATTACGGCACCCGCAACAAGCGCAGCCTTTGCATGGACGTCACCAATCCCAAGGGCAAGGAAGCATTTCTGAAGCTGGTGGAAAAGACTGACATCGTTACCGATAACTTTCGCCCCGGCACCATGCAGCGCTTTGGCTTCGACCACGAAAGCCTGGCAGAGATCAACCCCAAAATAATTAGCCTCAGCAGCACCGCTTACGGCTACACTGGCCCCTGGCGGCGGGCAGGTTCCCGTGCCCGAACGGTGGATGCTGCCTGTGGACTGTCCTACCTCACCGGTTACGAGGGTGGCCCTTCCGTGCGGGCCAGCAACAATTACATGGACCACTCGGTGGGCAACAACGTGGCTTACGCCCTTCTGCTGGCTCTGTACCAGCGCAACAGGACGGGAAAGGGGATGCGCATCGACCTCACCATGCTGGAAACCGGGGTTTCCGCCGTGGGACCGGCTATTCTTGAGGCTCAGTCGGGCATTACCCGGGACCGCCTTGGCTGCGCCCACTGGTGGAAAGCGCCTCACAATGTCTACCCGGCCAGGGGCGACGATCGCTGGATTGTAATTGTGGTGTCCTCGGACGAGGAGTGGGGACTGCTGAAACAGGCCATGAACTCGCCGGTCGGGGCCGAGGATGCCAGGTTTAACACGGCGGCCTCTCGGTGGGAGAACCGTCACGAACTGGACGAACTGGTGGCGGAATGGACTTCCCTGCACGACGACCTGGAGTTGGCCCGGGAACTGCAGCGGCAGGGCGTTACCGCCGGCGCTTGCATGACCGCCCGTGACCTGGTTGGCAATGCCCATCTTCAGGCGCGACGCTACATGTGGGAGTTTCCCAATCCTCAGGCTCCCGAAGTGGGGCCCCGCATCTTTGCCGGACGCCCCTACCGGGATCCCGGCAATCCAATGAGTATCGGAAGAGTGGCCGGGCTGGGCGAGGACAACGAATCGATACTGACCGATTTGGCTGACCTTTCAGCTGACGAAATCAACGGGCTGATACAGGACGAAGTGCTCTTCAACATACCCAGGCCCGATGAATCTAGGCCTTAGAAATCGTCTCAAGAATCCCTGCCCCCTTGACGGGGGAAGGTTGGGTTGGGGTGACGTTCTGTCTAATGTCGACACTTCGGAAATGCGCGAATTTCACCGTCGGTTTTGCGATAGTCTCTCACGTCCCCGGCGCCTCAATGGCCTGACCCTTTTAAACCCCACCAGCGGAGGAACCGATGTCCGGAATACTGTCAGAGTTGCGGGTCATGGAGTTGGCCCACCGGCCTTCCGGGGCCTATTGCGCCAAGTTGGTGGCCGACCAGGGCGCCGATACCATCAAGGTTGAGCCTCCCGGCTGGGGAGACCAGGCTCGCCACGAACCGCCCTTCATTGGTGACGAACCCCATCCCGACCGTTCTTCCACGTTCCTGGCCTTCAACACCAACAAGCGAGGCATTTCCCTGGACGTGGAGCAAACTGCCGGGCGAGACCTGTTCCTTCGCCTGGCCCGGTCGGCGGACATAATAGTTGAGAGTTATCCCCCTGGACGGCTGGGGGAGTTAGGTCTGGATTATGAAGTCCTGTCATCCGACAACACCAGGCTGATCCTGGTTTCCATAACCTACTTTGGTCAGGATGGCCCCTATGCCAACTACCAGGGAGACGACCTGGTGGCCCAGGCCATGGGCGGATATCTCTACGCGGTTACCGGGTCAACCAACAAGCCGCCCATGGGCACGGCGTTGCAACAGATGGAGATCACCGCCGCCCGAAATGGCTCGGTGGCTGTCATGGCCGCTCTCCTGAAACGTGACCAGACCGGGCAGGGAACTCACATAGACGTTTCTACGATGGAAGCTGCCGTAAGCACCCCATCCGGCCTTATCCATCCCTACACCTACACTGGCCGCAACCCGCACCGGGGCGGCAGCGATGGCAATGTCATGGACGGCATGCACTTGGCCACCCTCGACGGTGAGGTGACCCTGACCACCGCCGGGACAGGCGGCCGTCCCATGCAGGCGTGGGCCGAGTTCCTTGAGGAGCCAGCACTGGAAGACTCCAAGTTTGCTTCCCGAGGCGGCCGGATGGAGCACTGGGAGGAACTGCACTCGCTGGTGGCCCCCAAGCTGGCCCAGTGGACCAACCTGGACCTGATGCGCGAAACGATGGCCCGCGGCCTGGTGATCGGACTGGTGCAAACTCCTACCCAAGTGGTGGAATCTCCTCATTTGGAAGAACGTGGATTCTTCGTCGAACTGGACCACGCAGAAGCGGGGCCGCTGAAGTACCCGGGGTCCGGTTTCTTCATGGACGGCGAGAATGCCATGGCAACCGCCCGTGCCGCCCCTGGACTGGGAGAGCACAACGTGGAAATTCTAAATGGTGAACTGGGACTGTCCTTGCGGGAGCTGGGTCTGCTGCGCGCCGCTCATGTAATCTAGGAATCGCTGGAGAGGGCTGAAATGGAAAAGATCAGAAAGAACTATCCGGATATTGCACCCTCGGGACCAACCTTCAGCCGCACCGTGCGGGCTGGCGACACGCTATACATTGCCGGCTGCACCGCCCGGGGCACGGAAGCCCAGGGCCAACCAGTCATGGAACAGTTGCGGGTCACTCTGGACCGAATAGTCCGCATCGTAGCGGAGGAAGGTGGCAGCCCTTCAGACATCGTGAAGATTACCACCTTCGTCACCAGCATCCCCCAGTGGCGCGCTGACCGGGAGCGTCAGGAAGCCCTGTTCGCCGAATATTTTCAGGGAGAGTATCCCGCCAACACCCTGGTGGAGATCTCCGCCCTGGCCGAGGATGGTTTGGGCGTGGAGATTGAGGCGATAGTCGAACTCGGCTAGTTGACGGCTGGCTTTCCGCCTTTCATTTTGGCTACCACCAGCAACAGGGAAGGCAGCACCAGCAGCGATGCCACGCCCGCCATCAGCACCATTGTCGCTGATATGACTCCGTAAGTAGAAAACAAGGGCATGGGCGCAAATCCCATAACTGCAAAACCGATGATGCTGGAAGCGGCCGAACCGGCCAGGGCAACCCCGGTTCCCTTTGCCGCCGCCCGCAAGGCTGCCGGCGGGTCAGGATGCCGCATCAACTCCTGCCGGAACCGCTGGGTCATGTGTATCGAGTAATCTATGCCCACCCCGATAGACACGGCGGCGATAGTGGCTGTAACGAAGTTCAGGCTGTAGCCGGTCAAGTACATGAAGGCATAGAGCCAGGACACCACCAGCCCCACCGGGAGGGTGGTTATGAAGGCATAGCTGGCCGAACGCATCCAGAAGGCTAGCAGCAAGAAGCAGGCCAGAGCCGCAACCGGCAGGGAAATGGTCAATGCCCGGGTGGTGGCTGCGAGGGTGGCTTCGCGGGTAAAAGGAGAGCCGGTGACGCCGGCCTCGGATATAGTAGGCAACTGCCGCAGGGGCGCCAGGTCTCGCTCCAGAGACTCCCGGGCGATTGCCAGGTTGGTCTGTTCCCGCGCTCCCAGGATGCCGAGAGAAATGACGGTGGCCAGTTCATCGCCCACCGGCGCCAGAATCTCCCTGACCTGGGCAGTATCGTAAGCCATTGCCTGTTCGTTCAGGGGCACCCCGTTTGCCAGCATGTGGTCGTAGGCGGCCCGGGTTTGCTCTGCAGTATCGGGAATCCCATCTCCGTTAGCGTCGGATATCGCGATACCCGTGGCATCTTCCACTGCGCTCCGCGCCAAGTCAGACCCCGCTACCCGACCCAACAATTGAAAGACGGTTCGGTTGTACAGGAACACACCTCCGTCGTGTGCCCTGCTCAAATTTCCGTTCTCACCAAATCGTTCCAGCAGTTCCCGCAACCCTATTAAGGATTCTGGGGCAGTCAGGTCCCCTTGTATGTAGATAATTGCTGGCTCCCCCGACAGGGACGGCGCGACATGCTCGTCCAGCTTGTCGATGCCGACCACAAATTCGGATTCGCTGTCGAAAAAGTCCTTGGTGTCGAACTTGGGGTCCAGTTGAAGGGCCAGATAGGTGGTTCCGGCGGTAGCCAAAGCAACCACGGGCAGGACCAGCCACGGTATTCGGGATAGGAGCACTATCAACGGCGCGACTCCGAATCTGGAATACGCTGCTTCCGCAACTGCGGTATCTTCGGCTTCCTCGATGCCTGTTGGCGCAGATCCGTTGTCCTCCTTGTGCTGGTCCAGCCGCATGATGAGGAGAGGGATGAGAATCCCCATGATGATGAAGTTGGACAGTACTGCAATGCCGGCGGCTATGCCAAACCCGATAATGGTCTCGATTCCCGAGGTTACGTTGGCCAGGAAAGCGATGCCGTCGGAAAGCGATGCCAGTACCAGCGCGCCCAGAACACCGGCCAAACCGGCCTTGAGGGCACGGGTAGCCTGGGAGTTGCGCCGCCGCTCCTCGTTGTAACGGGCCACCGCGTGAATCAGGAAATCGGCCCCCAGGGAAATCATGGCGATGGGGACTATCAGATCCAGGGTCAGGGATGACTTAAGCCCGATAAGGTTGGAAATACCCTTCAGCCAGACCAGCAAGATCAGGAACCCGAGGAAGCCGAGGCCAACCGCCTTGAGTGAGCGAAGGGCTACCCCGACCACGAGCAACACCAGGATTACTGTGGCGGCAATGTAGGGAATTGCGGTTTGACCCTGTTCTTGGGACGTCAGGTTAACGTCCAGGGCCAACCCCCAGATTCTGTAGTTTTCCTGGTCTCCCCTTAAGGTGTCCAGCAACCGGCGATTCAACCGCTCTTTCCCTATTACCGACTCGTCGTTGGACAGAGTAATGGTCTGGGGCCCGCCGCCCAGCTTGGCGTTATCTGCGGCAACAAAGATAGAAAGGGCCCTGGCTCGCCAAACCTCATGCTCCTGGCCTTCGGTCGTTACCGTTTCGACATAGGCTTCCTTGGACATACTTTCCCGCATTATGCTGCGGTTGGGCCCGCCCAGGGCAAGAGAAATCGCCTCCTTAACCTGGGCATCGGTGGCAGTCTCCAGGGTCACTCCAAATCGCGGGTCGAACCTCAAGACATCGTTTACTGCATCAGCGACGGTGTATATGCCCTGGAGTTGGCGTTCCGTGTCAACGTCGTACCCGCTGAACAGCAGGTCTGCCATATCCGACTCTCGCAAGACCTGCTCGTTCCGGTAAAGCTCCCACAGGGGTTCCTGCCGGAGAATATCTCCGTTCCGGTCCTCAACGATAAAGCTGGCTATGTGTACCCGCGCTGGAAAGCGCTCGTTGACTCGGTCCCTCAGGTCGAAGACTGGTCCGCCGGGTTCCTGGGAAGCCTGTTCGCTGGGCTGTAGAAGGAATATAGGAAAGACCAACAGTACGGTTGCGGTAAGGATGACCAAGATGGTCAGGGTGGAATGTCTGGTCAAGAAGTCGGCCACCCGGTCGGCTAGGCCGGATTCTCTGGAGGAGTTCAACTTATCAGCAGGGAGAAGATGTGAACGTTGGGTCTGGAGTTGTTACCGGTGCCGGTGGCAACCCGACGGGACTCAGCTGGTAGAACAAGGAAGTGAAAAGAGGAAATCAGTCGTGCACTAATGGTGGGGAGCGATGGAGTGAGGCCGATTGTAGAATGCACCAGGCAACTCCTGATTAGCTGCCTAGGATTATAACCTGAGACAGATTGGCGGAGAACACGGCTCGTAATGCGAGGTAGTGTTGCTCCGATACCTGGCACAGTGTTCCTAGAGTTGGCAGCATTTCCTAAATCCAGGTTCCAGTTTCGTAACGATGACGAGTTACTTTGCGGGTTGCTTGCGGCGTTGGGCTAAACGATGATTCACTTCCCCTTGCACTCACCCCGGATAGACACCATAATCGCCCCAATCCGATCACCAGCCCAGGCTGAAGGCCTGCACAACTGAAACTGCCGGAGGTCGTTATGTTGGACAAACTTATCACCGGTGGAACCGTGGTTGCTCCCGGGGGAGCCGGGCTTTGGGATGTTGGAATCCAGGGAGAAAAAATCGTCGCCGTGGCCCTTCCCGGATTTCTGCCAACCGAGGGGGCAACCATTATCGACGCCGAAGGCAAAATCGTGGTTCCCGGCGGTATCGAGACCCACGCCCACGCCGCCGCCAACGTCCAGCCTGGGGCGCGGCAACTGGTGACCGGCACCCCCAATGCCGGCCCTCTTGACCATTCCCTCGGCGCCATTTGGGGCGGCACTACCACTGTCATGGACTTCGCGCCGGTTCCCAACGAAGGCGACCTGGCAGCCGGCATTACCGATTTCATTTCGGTGTGGAAGGGCAACGCTTACACCGACTACTCCACCCACTGCATCTACTCCAGCGGAAGCACACCCGATGCCATTTCGCGGTACGGGGAATTGGTAAATGCAGGGTTTCCCAGCATCAAGGTCTTTACCACCGACATCCGGCCCCCTGAGGGACGGGTCAATAGCCTCACTCCCATCGGCAAGATTGACACTGGCCGACTGGCCGACGTCATGACCCAGATTTCCCGCCAAGGCGGCGTTCTGGCCGTCCATGGTGAGGACGATGAGCTGGTCATGTACAACTATCTGCTTGCCCAGCAGCGGGGCTTGTGGGACTGGTACAACGTCCACGAAATCCACTCCAAGCTGGTGGAGGACCTGGCATTCCAGCATGTCATTCGCCTGGCCCAGCGCACGGGCACCGGCCTCTATTTCGTCCACGTTACCGCCAAGGATGGGTTGGACGCTATCTCCGAGGCCCGCGCCGACGGTTTCCCAGTCTATGGCGAGGTACTGACGCTGGCTCTGTCCTTCAATACCGACAACTACCGGGAAGAGGACGGCATGAAGTACCATACCTACCCTTCCCTGAAGTACGAAGACGATCGCTTGCACCTCTGGGACGGCTTGATGCGCCGCGACTTGTCCTTCACCGCCACCGACAGCAGCTTCACGACCTACCTGGACAAAATCGCGGGACGCAACGTTGTCGATGTCCGGGGTGGGAACATTGGCATCGAGATTCGCATGGGTGTGAACTACACCGAGGCCGTGGTGCGGCGGGGCATGTCCCTGGAGCACTTCGCCAACGTCACTTCCACCAACGCGGCCAAAATGCTGGGCTTGTATCCCCGCAAGGGCGCCATCGCCGCGGGCAGCGACGCCGACGTCACAATAATCGACCCGTCCATCAAGAAGACGTTGTCCATGGCCGACCTGCACCTCCGCGACTACAGCCCCTGGGACGGCTGGGAAATTGAGGGCTGGCCCACCACCGTCATGCTGCGGGGCAAGGTAATGGTCGATAACGGCCAACTGGTGGGTACGCCGGATGACGGCCAATTAATTTCCAGAAAAATTGACCAGTCGGTGTTGAACCGACCAGCGTTCTAGCGGGCGCGCGAGGCCTTCGCGCTGGCAAGCCCGCTAAAGTTGAACTGTTTCGTTTGCCCTGCATATTTGCATCCTGTAGGTTGAATCTATAGAATTCAACCTGGGATAAATACTTAATGCTAGTGGCAACCGACATCAGCAAGGCCTACTCGGACAGGACTCTGTTCAGTGGCCTCACCATAAATGTGGCAGCCGGAGATCGTATCGCCCTGGTCGGGCCGAACGGTTCGGGCAAAACCACGCTCTTGGATATACTGGCCGGAGAGACAGACCCTGAAACCGGCAGCATAACCAGGCAACGAAGCATTTCTGTTGGCTATCTGAAGCAGGAGGCTGCGGCGTTTGCCGGCAAGTCTCTGCTCCAGGAAGTGCTGGACGCGGGAGTAGAGGCGAACGCTCTGATGGAAGACATTGCTTCTACGCGGGAAGCATTGTCTTCGGAGACCGAACCTGAGCAGCAGGAGGAATTGCTGCTGCGCCTTGCCAGGCTTGACGCGGAATTGGAGGCCGCCGGCGGGGATGACCGCGATTACGAGGCCAAGGCGATTCTTTCCGGCCTCGGCTTCAAGCAGGCCGACTTTTCTCGTCCCATCAGGGAGTTCAGTGGAGGCTGGGTTATGCGGGCCGGCCTCGCCAGGATCCTCTTCCGCAAGCCGGACTTGCTCCTCCTGGACGAGCCAACCAATCACCTCGACCTGGAAGCGAATATTTGGTTCGAAAAATACCTGGCTTCATTTCATGGCGGATTGCTGCTCACCTCCCATGACCGCGCTTTTCTCAACCAGGTGGCAACCCGGGTTCTCGCCATTGAGCAGGAAGGGATCACCCTGCACAAGGGCAATTATGACGATTACCTGGTCTCCCGCGAGCGTTACCTGGAGGTCTTGCGGGCCACGGCCGCCAGGCAGGAGAGGGAAATCCAGCGTCAGATGCGCTTCGTGGAGCGATTTCGTTCCAAGGCCACCAAGGCAACGCAGGTGCAAAGCCGCCTGAAACAGCTGGAAAAAATACAGCCCATAGAACTGCCACGCTCCACCAAAAAAGTTCACTACTCCTTCCCCGCTCCTCCTCGCAGCGGCTCCGAGGTCTTATCCCTGGTCAATGTCAGCAAGTTATACGGCAACAATGTAGTATACCGAGGCATGAACCTCACCCTCTCTCGGGGAGACCGGGTTGCCCTCGTGGGACCCAACGGCGCCGGCAAGACAACCATGTTGAAGATACTGGCCGGGGTCTTGCCGATCGAGGGCGGTGAAAGAAATCTCGGCCACAATGTGGTCCCCGCCTATTATGCCCAGCACGTGCTGGAACTCCTCAATACCAGCAACACCATCGTCGAGGAACTGAAACAGGCGTCCCCTGCCGAGTCGGAACAAAACCTGCGCACAACCCTGGGCGGGTTCCTGTTCAGCGGCGACGATGTTCAGAAGCCCATCTCCGTGCTTTCCGGCGGTGAAAAGGCGCGGGTGGCCCTGGCCAAACTGCTGCTCCAGCCCAGCAACCTGCTGTTGATGGATGAGCCTACCAACCACCTTGATATTGCATCCAGGGAGATACTTGCCGATGCCCTTGGCGATTATCACGGTACCCTGTGCCTCATCACCCACGACCGCACCCTGATTCGACAGGTCGCCAACAAAATCATTGAGATCGTGGACGGACGCCCCAGGGTATTCCCCGGCGACTATGACAATTATCTGCATATCAAGGAGTCCGAGGCCCATAGAAATGGATCAGGGCCATCGGCCGACAAGGTCGTGGTCGCTCCCAAGCAGGGTCAGTCCAGGAGGCGCTCCGGTCGGACCTTGACCGAGGAAGAAGTCCAGCGCCGGACTCTTAGCAGAGAATCCCGACGTCTTTCAACTCGCATTGACGAGGTCAGTGCCTCGCTGGCCGAGCGCGAGTCACGCATAGCGGAACTCGAAGCCATGTTTGCCGACCCCGAGCGATTCGAAGATTCGGCAGAAATAGCTGACACCGCGGAACAGTACCGTGCACTCAAAGAGGAGGAGGAATCCTTCCTGGAAGAGTGGGAAAAGCTTTCGCTGGAAGCGGAATCCATAGACGTTCAGCTTGCGGCCCTGGAAGAATTTACTGTTACCGTGTGAGGCCTCAATAGCCTGAGGGCGCCCCGCCTTTGAGTTTCCGGAATGGGCTTAAGGGAACCACGGAGCAGGCAAAAAATGTCCGATGTACGGATGACTGCGCCGGATGGACTGACCTCCCTGTCTTTTCCAACACAACCAGGGAATGCCCAATTACTGAGGCCATACCCACCGGCGAGGGTCTGCCACCCCTATCTTCTGTAGAATCCCCGCAAGTGGACCTGAAGGACCTGACCGGTGCCCGGCGCACAATATCGTTGCTGCGGGAAGTCGGCATTATATGGCGATCCGCAAAGGAATCTCGGGTCATACGGTTATGCAGGTCGGCTAACTCCTCCATAGCATGTCAGCCGGGCCGGAAAAGTGGCCCATCACAATTTACTCTATCAGTCTTCCGGCGATGCGGAACCAAACCTGGCGATGAACAGCCGCTCCACCTGACCCGAAAAGAGCATAAACCCGATTGCCACCAGCCACACCACAAAAGCAACGCCGCTGACCCGGTGCACGGGTGTCAGGCCATCGACCCAGATCAAGAGCATTGCTACGCCAATGATGACCGATAGTGGCGAGATCAACCGCAGCGCTCCCCCCACCGTCCATTGGTAACGGGCCGCCACCAGCAACGCAAGTCCTGCAGCCGTGAAACCGAGCTTCCCGGTGAGCCAGCGCAGGTAGGAGCTTGCTTCGTTAAAGGCTCCGGGGTCGGCAGCGCCTGTGGCTGCCACGGCCAAAACCACGGCACAAACGCCGGACACGGCGGTGAAGATGCCCGAAGCCCCGAACAGCCACGCGGCCAAAGGGGATGCCCGCCGCTGGCGGATAATCCATGTGGACAACAAGAACCAGGCCCCAATAAGCAGAGTCACGCCGGACACAAGGCGCGCCACCCCACCAAACCCGTACGCGATCCGGCTTTCAGCAATGGCTGCCAGGGACTCAGCCAGGGTAGGCTGGTCCGCATCGGCCATGACCCGCCCGGCCACCGCCAACAAGGTAATGAAGGCCGTGGCAATCAACAACAGGCCGGCATTGCGGGCGGCAGCGTCCCCCGGCTTGTCCGGAACGATGTTAGTACGATCCCGGGATTCAGGCATTGGATTTTGCATTTTGCTCTACCCTCGTTGTTCTGGCTGGGGCACGACCCAGGTTCTGGAGCCGAAGCCCTGCCGGATGGTTGCCAGGCCTATGTCGGTATCAATCCGGGACGTCGCTGGGCTGCCGTTACATGAAACGCAGGCAACGGCGCAAACCCGAACTTGCGGGTAACCCCTTGCCGCATAATCATCTCTTATTGTGTCGGAATAGGGGTAGATAACCTGTTCACGCATGGGATGGATGGAATGAGTATTTCAGCGCTTGTGGCAATGAGCATGGTCCGCCGAACACTGGGACTGAACTAGCTGTCAGAACCCGTGCCAGCCGGGCACGGCGGCTGCCTGCCGGACCCACTCCGCCATTTGCTCCTCATCAAGTTTGCCCTCGTAGATATCGACCCAGCGCGCGTCAGGATCCTTGCCTCCGCCGGGCGGAACGGGATTCAGCGACGCTCCGTTGAGGAAGGTCACCTTCACGTAACGGGTGAAAACGTGGTAACTCACGAACCAGCCCTCGCCCTCCGTGCCATACCAGGGCGAGTTCCACCTCACGGCCTTGCGCACGCTGGGCACATTGCTCACGATGAGGGCGTCAAGGCGGCGTCCCACGTCGCTCTTCCAGTCCGGCATGGCTGCGATGTAGGCCTGCACCGGGGCGTCGCCGTCCGCCTTCGCTATCTGAGGGTTGCCCCCTGAAAGGAGCACCACTTCCCCGCTCGTGTTCTCAGGGGTTTTCATAGAGGCCCCCGTTGACCTCCTGGATGGTTTGCCAGCCATTGGGTTCACTCCAATCTACGCTTCGCGCGGCTGTATTGGTCTATGACAGCTGCCCAAGTCCTTGGGTACAAATGCCTTCCCAGATTGACGACTTCCAATAGCTAAATGGATTGAGCTGAGCCCTTAGCTTCCCATGGTTGTGTTCATGCTACTTGACCGGATGGCGCCTCACCTTTCTTGAAACCAAAACACTAAAACTTTACCATTAGACGCCTGTGAATCCATCCCAAGACGCCTCGGCACGTATCGCCCACCAGGTACAGAAGTCGCTTTCCAAAGTAAACCGAGGCAACAAGTGCGTCACCAAGTCGTAGTGGGACTCTCGCACCCTTGTCACCGCTATTCAGCCATCTTGCTACCGGTGGCCATTTAACGCGGCGGGACTCCTGTTCCAGAAATACTTTGGCTCTTTTGTCACTGTTCCTCCAACACGGCTGGTAACCGGAAGCCCTGACCTGGCTGTTATGGAAGGGCAGTCAGACCGGGGATTATTATTTCACCGAAGGCGTCTACCTCGGCCTGCGGCATGTCGTAACCACCCTCCTGGGTGTGGGTGGGAAAGATGAACACGTGATCGATACCGGATTCAGCGTTGGCCCGTTTCAGCCTGGCCAGGCATTCTTCGGGCGTGCCAAACAAACCAAAAGCATCGCATATTTCCGCCGCCAGTGCATCGTTGATGTCCTCGGGAACGAAATCTTCGGACAGTTCAATGCCGGCCTCTCGCAGCCAAAATAGGTTGGAATCGCTGGGGTACTTCAGGTACGGTTGGTCGGGCCGGAACCACTGTTGAGGAAAGCGGCGGGCTGCCGGGCCGTCATCCGATACCGAGGTTGGGGTGATGAAAATCGTCTGAAAACCGTTCAGGCTGCGTCCGGAACGCACCGCCCCGATTTCCAGCCTTCGGCGGGCCGCCTCGACCGCTTTGGGATGAAGGCCCACAAGTAAAAGGGCCCCGTCAGCGACCTCGCCGGCCAACTCGACCATCCGTGGACCGGCGGCGGTCAAGAATACCGGTGTCGGCCGGTCGCTCACGTTGCGAAGCCGGGTTTCCACCCCGTTAAATTCCACTGTCTCGCCCCGCAGCAGGCGGCGGATGGTCAGGACGGCCCGGCGCATGGTCTCCACCGTGGCCCGGCGCCGGCCAATATTGCCGACGGCGAGATAGCCGGGGGCAACGGTCAGGCGTACCCGCTCTGGTGCAATCTCCTCCAGCGAATGGGCCAGTGAGGCTAGGACCATGGTATGCCGAGTAACCGGGTTGGTGGTTGCGGGGTACAGTGTGAGCCGGGAGGTCCGCTCCGCGGCCAGGGCCAGGGTGAGAAAAACGTCCCGTCCGCTGTGCTGATGGTCGTGGACTCCAACCCCGGAAAATCCGGCGGCCTCACATTCCGCAATGAAATCGGCGGTCTCTTGCACCGGCAGGCCCACTGGCACCCGGATATCAACTTTCATCGGACACACCTGCTATTCAGACCAAATATGGGAGAACTGGCTGGCCACCACCTGATCATAGGCTACCTCGCTGGATAACAGGCCGACATTCCGGGGAGAACTCGTTGAGGCTGGCTACCGACTTCGGCGAGATTCCGGCGGTGTAGTAAGCAAGGTCCCGCCGGATCAAGTCCTCTGTCAAAGCGGCCTCGTCTGGTGGGAACAGCCGTAGGCCGACCTCAGCAGCCCGGGACGGATCGGCTCGCAGCGCCCGTTGGGTCTCCCCTACCGCCCGCACCGCTCTTTCCGCCGTGGCAGGGGAGTCTTCAATCAGCCTGTCGGTCGTGACCAGTGCCGGAAAGGTGTAGTCCCTGGCAGCCGGGGGGCCGATGCCTCGCCGCGGGTCAAGAACTACGCTGCCTATCCCGCTCCGCACCGCCACTTCGGCTCCCATGGCATTGGCCCAGAACCCGTCGATTACTCCGTCCTCCAAAGCTTGGGCGGCATGAACACCGAAGGACACGCCGGGCTCGCCACTGCCCGGTACCGGAGCCAAACCCCACGCCGTCCCGCACCGGGTCGACGCCCGCTTCTGCCAGCAATCTGCGCAGCGCCGCGTCGGGCCCGGGGGCCGCCCCGATGCGCAGACCCCTGACCGCCGAAACGTCCCCTGGCTGGACGCCCAGTCCAGAACGCAGCACCAGCAGCCAGTAAGTATGCTGGGACAGGGCGGCCAGCAGCTTGGCGCCCTGCCAGCCGGGGAAGGCCGAAAGCGTGGCGTGGGCGGGACCGGCCACGAAGTCGACGCTGCGGTCCCGCAACTCTTCCATGGTCCTGCCCGCCGGAGAGATCAGTTCCAACTCGACATCTATTCCCTGGGACTGAAAAAATCCCAGCTCAACGGCGGCCACCGCCGGAAAGTAAGAGTTGGACACCAGGTCGGGTACTGCGAGGCGCATTTCCAGTCGTCTCCTGGCCACCAACCGGCTATTAGGGTGCGGGTTGGGCTTAGTTTACCACTGGGCCCGCAACCAGTATCCTCTGCGGTAGCGCCACCTGGTTCATCCTGGCCGGCCCCGGGGGACTTCACGACTCTCTAATAGACCTGGTTCCACCGGCCACATAGCCACTCACGGCACTCTGGGGTTGGCGCCGGGTTATCACCAGGAAGTGGCATGATGCAAGGCACGCCCCTGCAGTACCCGACTTGGCGGTACAGTGGGGCGAAAGCTCAACGCCGCCTGCACGGTGATTCTCGGTCAAGACGAGTGAAGACGGTTGTCGCGCGGACTCCGGTCCAGCCTGTGCCCAAAGCAGAATTGAGGGAGACCAAATATGAAATTCGGCATCTACAGCTCAATCGCCGACCCGCCCCGGGGCGAGCGGCTTGACCAACGGATAGACGAGGTTATCGCCGAGGCGATGCTGGCAGAAGAGGTGGGTTTCGACTCCTGCTTTTTCGGCGAACATCACCAGGACCGGGACGGGTTCCTGCCTTCTCCGTTGATAGTGGCAACGGCGGTGGCCGCCCACACCAGAACCTTGAACGTGGGCACGTCGGTGATCCTGCTTCCCCTCCATAATCCGGTTCACCTGGCGGAGGACGTGATCACCCTGGACCTGGTGTCCAAGGGGAGAATCATCCTGGGTGTGGGTCTGGGTTACCAGGAGGCCGACTTTCGGGCCTTCGAGGTGCCGATACGACAGCGGGTGGGTCGTTTCGAGGAGTCGGTGGAGATTATCCGCCTCTGCTGGAACGGGGAGCCCTTCTCCTTCCACGGCGAGTACCACCAACTGGAAAATCTGCACATCCGGCCCAGTCCATTCCGGCAGCCCGCTCCTCCCCTCTGGATCGGAGCCAGTACCCCGGCAGGAGCGCGCCGGGCCGGGCGAATGGCCGACGGGTTCGTGGCGGGACCCAGCACCGACTTGGCCAACACCATCGAGTTGGTGGATACCTATCGGGAGGCGGCAGTACATGCGGGACGAGAGCCGGTGGTTGCCCTGATGCGGGACGCCTGGGTGGCTAAGACCCGCGCTGAGGCCGAGGAGGTTTACGGTCCGGAGGTAATGGCGGCCTACAACTACTACTGGCGCAACGGCCTGCAGGAGTTCCGCAGCATCGCGTCGGAGGACGAGATAACCCTGGACAACCTGGGGCCGGACCGGTTGATATTAGGAGAGCCCGATGAATGTGTGGCGGAGTTCCAGCGCTGGAGCGAGGCCGTGGGTGCGGAACATTTCCTGCTGCGATTGCGTCACGCCCACTCGGGTGGCCCACCCCACGAGAAGATTATGGAGACGATTCGGCTGTTCGGGGAAGAGGTCATACCGGCGTGCAGTTAAGGGATTGCTCCGGCACTGCCAAGGGGTTCCTGGATCAGGGTTATTGGATTGATATGGAATGGTTGTCGGTTACCGGGCACGTTGGCAGGAGCCGGTATCCAGAAGCCTTTGTAAGTCTGTGGACTCCGGCTATCTCGGGAAGGACGAGTAAGGTAGAATCGAGTGTAATGACGGCTGGGAACCACGGGTGGCTTCTGTCATCTCGATGCTAATGCACTGATTTGTGACCGTCACAGGGTTCTCCAGGCTATCAATTAATAGACGGATAGGGGGCGAAATGGCAATTTATCGGATATTCTCGGATGCCGACGGCGAGAGCCACATCGAGGACTGGAATCTGGAAGAACACCCGGAACTGGGGGAGCTGATCAATGTGTCTGAGGTGCGGGTGCAGGAGTTTGACGGGTCCCGACACCGGGACTTTCATCCCCTGCCCGAGCGCAGGCTGATCATCCATCTGTCCGGCGAAGTAGAGATCGGTGCCAGCGATGGCGCGAAGCGGGTGCTGCGGGCCGGAGATATACGGATGATGGATGACGTCACCGGAAAGGGACATACGCACAACGACCTGACCCCATCGGCCGCAGTCTACGTCCTGCTGAACGACTGATTGCCCGTCCTGCCCGACATTGCCTGGGCAGCTAGGGACGTGTTGGAGGGATTCCGGCTCGAGGGCGTTGTCCCATATTCAACGTGCTTGTTCAGCGGCGTAGGATCCTCGGTCCGTGTCAACGACGACCAAAGTGTTGCCGCTTGGCGAGCGGCTATCTAGGGTCCTCCTTGCGAAGTCCCCGTTTGGTGCAGGTTTCTGCCCGGCACAGTCACGTTACGGCTATGCACTCTTGCCCCCGGTACGTACGAAGCTATCAGAAGCAGGATACAAGCCGACATCAGTAGACACCCTGCTTGTTCAGCTGCGCTGGCGAGGTGTTGAACACGTCCTACACAGGGCTCGATGTGGAGGGGCCCATTACGACGGGTGCCGATATGGTTGACCGGGGATAATCCGGCAGTGCGGGCCGGGCTGACGAATTGGGCATCCGAGTTTGCGGAGACGGGAATCCGCAGAATGAACGACATTATGGCGGAGGGCTTTCAGGAGTACCAAGCCTGGCAAGTTAGCACTCCGCCATTACTCCCTTGACTGCCGGCGGGCTTATGGCCTCTTTCACCATTTTTGGGCATTGACCTCTGTAGCGTAGTTCAACAACTGCATCGTCCTGCTTGCTCCCTATCAGCCGGAAGGTGTCCCGTCGTCAACCTGCTGGATCGTCCAGCCCCTGATTTGAAGGACTTGGCCAACTCCCACTGGCTTGCCCCTTTCGACCGCTCTTCTCTGACATACACCCCTGCCGCTCGGTCGAGGGCGGATGTTTGGTATGCTTAGTGAGGTAGCGCAAATCCGGTTACGCGAGGCACTATGAATTCTTGGCAGTTGATTGGCCGGGCACAAACTCCTGGTGGAGGAGCGGAACTCGTTCTGTACCAGCGTGGCTCTGAGTTCTCGATCAAAGCGGATAATTGGGAACTGATGAACAGCCGTACTTACGGCTCGGAAGAAGCCATGGCCAAGCTGGGGTGTCAAAACCTGGCAAATCATCCGGGGCCCCGCGTTCTGATTGGCGGTCTGGGCATGGGATACTCGGTTAGAACGGCGCTGGACATCCTTGGCAAGGATGCCCAAGTGGTAGTCGCAGAATTGGTACCAGCCGTAGTTGCGTGGAACAAGGGAGTGCTTGCCGAGCTTGCCGGCCGCCCTCTTGACGACGGACGGGTTGAACTCCATGAAGCCGATGTTGTCCAGCTTATTAAGAGCGCCGGAGGTTCCTACGATGTCATCATGCTTGATGTTGACAATGGCCCGGAGGCGATAGTCCGAAAGGGCAACGATTGGCTTTACAGCATGCCGGGGTTGGCCACAACCTACGCTGCGCTGCGGAGGGGCGGTACATTGGCAATCTGGTCTGCCTGCCCTCAACCGGCATTCGTCAGACGGTTGCGCAGTACCGGTTTCGAAGTTGATGAAGTCAAGGTGCGAGCAAGTGGCAAAAGCAACCGCAAAAAAGGCGCACATCATGTCGTATGGATTGCAAAGCGCGGGTAGTGGATAGCAGTTTTGAGTTCGATGGACAGAGTCATCTGGATAGAAATGAAGCGAACTGTGTAAAAGGGCCGCCACTCGTATCAATAGCCAGCTAAGATAACCCGACCAGTAGTCAGTCATACCGAAAATGCCACTTGCTGAAAAGCAAGGTTCAGGGAACTGGCTGCCACCCTAAAAATTCATCCTGCCATTTCAAGCGTGACTGACTACTATACCCTCTCCCATCAAGGGAGAGGGTGCTTTGGTGACACCCGGCCTTCCGAGAGAGTGGCAGGCTACCGGACCGGAGGCCACATTATCCAGCCCCGGCGGCCAGTGTTGCGCAGTCGCAGGAAGTGTCCCTGGCCGGTGGTAACGTACAGGCTGCTCTGGTCGGCGTCGCCGAAGCAACAGTTGGTGGGGCCGTCCACGCCCACCGGCATGGGGTAGGTTTCCAGTACCCGCCCCTGGGGAGTCCAGACGTATATCATGGGGCCGGGGCCGCTGAGATAGTTGCCGGCGGCGCCCACGATGTTCCCCTCAGAGTCCAGGCACATGCCGTCAATGCCGCGCTGGAGCCCCCGGTGGGTCCCGGCCGAACTGGTGCAGCACGACGTACTGACCCAGGGAACCGTCGCCATTGATGGGGTAGGAGCGCAATTCCCGCACCCCGTCGGGCGAGGGGTCGGTCTGGATGATGTACAGGTTGTGCTCGTCGGGCGACACCAGCAACCCGTTGGTGCCGGTGGTATCGAAGGTCATCCGCTGGCAGGTATAGCTGCCGTCGGGCTGGGGGTCGGCCCGCAGGATGTCCCTGTTCATGTTCTCTTGCTGTTCGCTGGCGTCGATGTTCCCCTCGTTCCAGGGGTTGCTGAACCAGATACGCCCCCGCCGGTCTATGGCCAGGTCGTTGGGGGTGTTCAGGCGCTGGCCGTCCAGCCGGTCAACTATGGTGGTAGTGCTGCCGTCAGGCTCGAAGCGGACGATGGAGCGGCCGCCGGAGCAGCAACCGTAAAGGCGGCCATCGGCGTCGAAGGCCAGGCCGTTGGTGTGGTTCGTGTCCTCCCTGTAAATGCTGCACTCGCCGGTCTCCGGGTCGTAGGCCATGATACGGCTGGCCGGAATGTAGGTGAACAGAAGCCGCTGGCCGTCCCAGGCCGGGCCCTCGGTCAAACGGCTGAATGGTCCCGCGACTTGCTCCCATTGCAGTGCCATACTTTCCTCCCGCGTTTAGTTGATTCCCATTAAACTAACTGTCTGGTGTCGATGGATGAAGGGGTTTGTCCGCCTCTGGGCGGGCGCCGGGACCCAGGAATCGGCGTGAGAAAATCTTCTCCACTGGACCAGGCTCTGGATTCCGGCTTTCGCTGTAAATACGATGACCAGTTTGCCCAGTAACTACCGAGAGCAGGAAGTCCCCAACCTACAGGAGGTAGGACCGCACCGCCGTTCCCTGGAACATGGCGGCCCTCTCGGTTTCGGAGAAATCCCGGGAGAACTGCTTGAAGGCGTTCCAGACTGTGGTGTAGGAGTAGGATGCCTTGTCCACCGGGAAGTTGCTCTCGAACATGCAGCGTTGCGGCCCGAACTGCTCGATGCAGTAGGTCAGCCAGGGGCCGATGGTCTCCACCACCTCCCACGAGGTGGGCGGGGTTGCGCGCTGGTGCCAGTCGTGGCCGCTGATCAGGTTGCCGAACCCGCCCAGCTTCACCACCACGTTCTCTCGCTGGGCCACGGCGGCGATGCCCTGCTGCCAGTCGGCGAACACCTCGTCCCGCCTTCCCGCGTAGGGGCCAACGCCCAGGGGACGCCCCACGTGGTTCAGGATGGTGGCGGTGTCGGGGAAGGCAGCGGCCAGGTCCGCCAGTTCATTCAGCTGGGTGTGGTACACCAGGGCGTCGAAGCTGAGGCCCAGCCTTTGCAAACAGGCGAACCCCTCCCGGAAGCGGGAGTCCAGCATCATCCCCGGTGTGTTGGATGACGGCGAGCCGACCTCGGGGCTGGCATCCCAGGCGCAGGAGAAGCGGATGCCCCGGAAGCGGTTGCCGCTGGCCGCCTGGAGCGCTTCCAGCACCGGCTGTACCGACGCGCCCAGCATGAGGTTGGCGTTGCCCACGATTCCTGCGGCCACCTCTGTGGGACCGTACTGACCGCTGGCGCTCTGGGCGGCAACGCCCTGGACGAACTCGACCTCGCCCACGGAGCGCATTTCCACCGGCCCTGAAGCGCGGTACATGGAATGGCATTCTATAAACACCGTCTGGGCAATGTTGTGGCCACCTGCGAGGTCCTGGGAAAGCTGGTCCAACAGGTACCGGTCGCCCTCCCGGTCCCAGAAGTGGTGGTGCGGGTCGCAGATGGGCAAATCTGGTTCCAACGGCTCTTCCACCGTCAGCGCCAGCCATGAATCACGTTGACTTGCCATATCTCCTCACCCTCCAAGTGCGTTTCCCGGACGACTGTAGTCCCTTCACTCCGTCCAGGGTGACGGCGCCCTTCCCAAAAGTGGTCGGAGACGAGTGCTCAGGCCAGGGAGAAAAACTTCATGACCGGACCAAAGGCCTCAGGTTCCGCTAGGGTGGGCGCATGACCCACGCCGGGCACTTCCACCATGCGGCAGTCCTGCATCTCCGCCACCATGCGCTGGGCTGTCTCCGGCGAAAGGAGGTCGCTGATCCCGCCCCGCACCAGCAGCACCGGACCGGGGATGCCCCGGGCCAGGTTCCAGGACGTTTCCGGGTCGGGTCGGCGTGGGTCGGTGCGGACCGCCGGGTCCATCTTCCAGGTGTAGCCGCCGCCGGGCAGGGCCTTTACCGCATATCCGGCGACAGTCCGCTGGTCGGCGTCGCTGAGGGAACTGAAGCCGACCCGTTGCTCGCAGTGCCAGGCCAGCACCTCTTCCATGGTCTCGAAGGTGGTTACCGCATCCCGGGTGCTGGAGGCGATGCGGCTGCCGCCCCGGGGATCAATCTCGGGGCCGATGTCGTTCAGAACGGTGCGCTCCACCCGGTCGGGGTAGGTCCCGGCGTAGGTCAGGGAGATGCGGCCGCCCAGGGAGGTGCCCACCAGCGCCATCCGCTCGAACCCCAGGGACTGTCGCAGCCCTTCCAGGTCGGCAACGTAGGCATCGTTGGAGTAATTGGCGTCGGCCGCCCAGTCGCTGTCTCCCCGGCCGCGGACATCCACGGATATGACGTGGTAGCGGGGCACGAAGTGGGGAGCCAGATTGTCGAAGTTATGGGCGTTGCCGCTGAGGCCGTGGACCATAATTACCGGCGGCGCGCCGGCCTCGCCCCACTCCAGGTAGTGCAGTTTGAGGTCGCCGACCCGGACGAAACGGTCTACTGCTTTGGTGGTCCCTGTAGTCATGGGGCCCTCCTTAAGTAAGGAATTAGTAGAAATGCGGAGAGTTGGATTGAAGGCAGGGAGAAGCTGTCCCTGGACCTGCTGGGCACTATCTCGTAATTCAGCCAAGCCGGACAATTCCCCAATGCGATTGTACTATGAGCTATTAGTCAGTCAACTGCGTATTCAAGATGGCAAAGGCGGTGAAATATGGTTCGTGTGTGCTAGGTGGTGTCGTCAAGATAGTTTGGTCCAGAGGACCAGAGGCTCGACATCTGCCGATTGCCAAGAATGAGGCGTGGACCTCTTTCGCATGAAGCGAGTTGCCACGGCCCGCCTTGCTTGAAGTTCAGTATGCATATTCTCCTCCCCAATGGCGCAGCCGATATATTTGACGGTCGTACTAGCGGGGTTCTTTCCGGTGACGCTCGGCGTAGTACCGGTTCCATCCCCTGAGCCTGCGCTTTGGCCACATGCATCGGTGTCGTACGCCCTCTCGTCAGCCATAGCAAGTATTGGGCTGCGATATCTGGCAATCAGGTCCGAGGCCTGGGTGGCAGTCCGCGCACCGTACCTTCGGTCAGGATCAGTCGTTAACCCTCGCCTCCGTTGGGGAAGCCACCGCCAGTGCCGATTTGCTGTTTAGCCCCCTTTGTACGCCTACATCTTGGATGGGGCCCCCACGGCACCAGTCCCATGGGGATGACCTTGATGTGGTAGCGGAGATCATCACCACTCAAGTCCGGCTGGTCATGGCGATGACCCGGTCCAGCAGTTGCTGCAACGCCGCGGTCCCGCAGCGACAAGCGGCGATGGGTGTCTTCAGTCCACATAGTCGGCGGCAGCATGTCCGCCACGTGCCGCCCCATGTCCGCAGATTCCAAACACCGCGTCAAAAACAACCGGTTTTTGTCCTTGGCCGGACCGCCCTCTTTTCCTGCGCCGCCAGGCAAATGAGGTCTCAAAGTTCACAAAAACCTGGTCACGAAATATCGTGACGTGGCCGATGCGACGTGGTCATACATCCCCTCACGCTCACATTCTCAGCAGAATCTACCATCAAGTTGCTATTTTGACGTCAACACGCTTGACCTCTGACTAAGTCTTCGGGTTGTTCTCTTTTCTGTTGGAAGGGAGTGAAGGTGGGCAGACCGCCGAGATTTGGCCCTTTTTCGAGGGTCGTCGGAAGTAACTTCTCTCGAACTCAACGATGGGTGGTAGAATCAAGCCAACTGTTCAAGAGAAGGAGTTGACATGGACATTGGTATTACGGCCAGGGTGTCATCCAGCTCAATAGACCCCGCGGTGCTGGCCCAGCGGGCTGAGGAGCTCGGCTTCGAATCCTTCTGGCTGCCGGAACACCCCATCCTACCGGTCAACACCAGCGCGAGATATGGCGGCACCGCCGACGCCTCCATTCCCGCTTCCATGGCCGACATCGGCGACCCGTTGATTGGCCTGGCCCGCGCCTCGGCAGTCACCAGTTCCATCAAGCTAGGCACCGCCATTAGCCTGGTGCCGGAGCACAATCCACTGCTCCACGCCAAGCAAATCGCCACCCTCGACCGTCTTTCCAATGGTCGTTTCCTGTTCGGTATTGGTGCGGGTTGGCTTCAGGAAGAAACCGAGATTATGGGCGGCGACTTCCGGCACCGATGGGGCCAGACCCGGGAGCATATCCTGGCTATGAAGCAGCTTTGGACCCAGGAAGAAGCCGAGTTCCACGGGCGCTTCGTTGACTTTCCTGCCGTGCGATGCTCTCCTAAGCCGGTGCAGAGCCCTCATCCCCCGGTTTACCTGGGTGGGTTCGCCGCCAACGTTTTCAAGCGGGTGGTGGAATATGGGGATGGCTGGATGCCCGTGCGGGTCGATGAAGAGCAGGTGCGCATGGGACGGGTATCCCTGGACGAACTGGCGGATGCGGCGGGCCGGGACCCCAAGTCCATACTCCTGATGGTCTGCAATGTTCCCGCAGACGCGGAACTTATTCGGGGCCTGGAAGCAGCGGGAGCCGACCGTGTCACCATAGGATTACCCGCCGAGGCGGGAGAAGATTCGCTGCGGGTAATGGAGGAGCTGGCTTCGGCGGTAATCGGTTAGAGAAAGCGGTAAGCAAAGCAGCAAAGGAGGCTGAAGTGGCTAGAATACCTGCTCCCACGCGCGAGAGCGTTCCCCAGGACCAATTGGATGCCTTTGACGAGTTTGTGGCGTTGCGGGGTGGTGTACCCGACGGCGGGCCGCTGTCGGTAATGCTGAACGTGCCCGACCTGCTGAAACGGGGCGAACACCTGCGGGCCTATCTTCGGGGAGATGGCTCCAGTCTGCCCCGCCCGATTATCGAGTTGGCTATGCTGCTGACGGCCCGGGAGAACAACTGCCGGTACATCTGGAACGCCCATGCCGCGGCTGGGCGGGCCGCAGGGTTGGACGACGCCGTGGTAGACAACCTGCGGGACGGGAATTCCCTGCCGGAACTGTCCGCTCCCGAGCAAGCGGTGGTGGAATACGGCAGAGAGCTATTCAGAACTCGGACGGTGAGCCAGGCCACTTTCGACGCTGCCCTGGCGCAGTTTAGAGTCCGTGGCCTCGCCGAGTTGACATCCTTAATGGGCTACTACGCGCTGCTGGCCTTCAACATCAACGCCTTCGGTGTCGACATCCCGGAAGACCATACGGAGGCACCGCTCCCCGTTTAGTCGGCAGAGCATCGGCCCCCATGGTCACTGCTGCTCCACGTCGTATTCCGTATACCTCCAAAGCATTAGTCCCTTCGGAAGCCACGCAAACCGATTAACGAGTCAAGCTCAAGCCACATTCTAGGTAGTTCAGCATTCAGAGTCGAGAGCAGCCCATATCCGGCACCGGCAGCCTGACAGCAAAAATGCTAAACTTGGGATGAGTCAGAAACGGGCAGAAGATGTGTTCAACCGGACGCCGGAGCTAATCGGATACACCTGTAGTTACCGCTCCAGCCTGGAGAATTTTCTTGCCCTCTTCAAGGTCCAGAGGATTGACGGCCGTGACCGTCGCTGTTAACAAACGGCGTAGGTCCGAAGGGCCAGGGGATGGATCATGCGCGTAGGTTTTGTCGGCACCGGTACTATGGGCAACCCAATGGCCCGCTGCCTGATCGATGCAGGTCACCAGCTAACGGTCTACGACGTGCGCCGGCAGGCCACCACCAACCTCTGCGAACTGGGGGCGTCCTGGGCGGATAGTCCCCGTGCCGTGGCGGAGTCCAGTCAGGCTGTTTTCATGTCTTTGCCGGGGCCGAGTGAAGTGGAGCAGGCTGTTTTAGACCCGGACATTGGGATATTAGCTGGCATTCCCCCAGGCGCGACTATCATTGACACCACCACCAACTCCCCAACGGTTTCCCGGCGGGTATCATCAATTTGCCGCGGCCAGGGCGTGGAGATGCTGGACTCGCCGGTCAGCGGCAGGCCTCCCACTATGACGGTGATGGCGGGTGGAGGCCAGGCTGCTTTCAACGAATACCGGCCTCTGCTGGAAGCCATGGCCGGCAACATCTTCTACCTCGGTGAGAGCGGTGCAGGCTGCATAACCAAGCTGGTCACCCAGTACCTTGGTTACTCCAACTTCGTAACCGCCATTGAGGGACTTATTATCGGCGCCAAAGCCGGCGTCGATCCGGGTATGCTTGCCCAGGTGGTTCCGGTTAGTGCCGGGGCCAGCCGGGTGTTCGACAACATACCCCGCTCCGTGCTTAATGGAGAGTTTGTTTCCGGCGGGACGCTGGACATAGTGGCCAAAGACCTGCACTTAGCCTGCGAGATGGCCCGGGAAGCGCAGGCTGCCTCGGCCATAGGTAATATCGCCGATAACGTGTTCCAGCGTGGGCAGGCGATGGGATGGGGACAGGAAGGTTTCGCCATGGCGGCCCGGGTCCTGGAACTGATGGCGGGCGTAGAACTAAGGTCCGAGTTTCCCCAGGAAACTCACGGTTACCAGCAGACCGATCCCCGGCACCCCGGCGGACCACAAGGTGAGCAGCAGGGGTAGCGACCGTCTTGCTCTTCAACGCCGCGACTCGAAAAAGATAGACAACCCCGGTAGAAGCGAAACGACCTGACAGGAGGCGAAGGGAGATGGTTTTAATCTCCGAGAATGGCGTCACCGGCAAAGCTGGTTAACGCCGATACCGGGTTAATCAGCCGCGAAATTTTCGTAAACCAGGACATCTACCACCAGGAACAGGAGCAGGTGTTTGCCCGCGCCTGGTTGTTTGTGGGTCACGAGGCGCAGGTCCCGAAACCTGGCGACTATTTCGTCTCCTCTATGGGCGAGGAGTCGGTTATTCTGAGCCGGGACCGGGAAGGGTGGCTCCATGTCTTCCTGAACTCCTGTATGCACCGGGGCATGAAGGTGTGCCGCTACGACGAGGGCAACACCCCCGTCTTCACCTGCCCATACCACGGTTGGAGCTACGCCAACGACGGCAAGCTCGTCGGCGTACCCTATTTTAAGGATGCCTATCATCAGGAACTGGACAAGTCCAAGTGGGGTCTGATTGAAGTTCCCCAGATGTTCAACTACAAGGGCAGTATTTGGGCCACTTGGGACGATTCTGCACCTCCGTTCCTGGACTATATCGGGGAATTCAAACTCTACCTGGACCTGTTGATGGACAGCTGGGACGGTGCAGAGGGCGGGCACCGAGGTTTTCGGCGGGGTCGAAAAGTGGCTGGTGCCCTGCAACTGGAAGTTTCCCGCAGAAAACTTTATTGGCGACCGTTACCACAACATCAGCCATCGCTCGGTTGACCTGGTGGGCATTGGGCCCAGCGGCACCGGTCGCCGCGACCAGGGTGAAAGGGCTGGCGCCCGATTGCTGGACGTGAGTTTTCCGGAGCGTGGTCACGGGACGGTGATGGCTCTTCGACCAACGGACGCTCCCATACCCCAGGCGTACCAGGACTTGCCAATCCTGTCCGAGTACTTCCGGCACTGCGAGGAAGAAAGGAAACAAAAGGACGGTCAGCTTTGGCGAATGCTGGGCGGGCCGGGCACCGTTTTCCCCAACATGTCCTACCTGCCGCGTCAGCCCAGGAGCATCGCAGTATGGCACCCCAGGGGCGTCAACCAGACCGAAGTATGGCGTTGGTTCATGGTGGATGCCCATGCGCCCCAGGAGGTCAAGGACTACCTGAGGCATTACTACATCCGGTACTCGGGACCCGGGGGCCTGACCGAGCAGGATGACATGGAAAACTGGAACTACGCCCACTCGGCCAGTAGCGGGGTCGTGGCCCGTCGTCATGCCTACAATTACGAGATGGGCCTGGGACACGGTACGCCCGCCTACGAAAACGACGGGTTGAAGCTGCCGGGACTGATCCTCGACACCACCGAGGCCAGGGCCGCGGAACAAAACCAGCGAGGCTTTTACCGCCGTTGGGCGGAGTTCATGGACGCCGATGGCTGGGGCAGCCTGGCCAACTGGCAGAACGGCAACAGCCACGGCTAACCAGTACGGCTAACCCGGAGGTCGCCTGACTTGGCTTATTCCGACCAGGACATTGCGCGGTTACTCCTCAAGGACGAGGTGGAGCAGTTCCTCTTTGCCGAGGCGGAACTGCTTGACGATCGCCAGTACGAGGAATGGCTGTCGCTGCTGGACGACGACATCCGCTACTGGATGCCGATGCGCCGGAACGTGAAGTTCGGTGAGTTGGAACGGGAGTTTACTCGGGAGGGGCAGGACATTAACTGGTTCGATGAAGGGAAGGACACCCTTACCCGTCGGGTAAACCAGATTCTCACCGGCGTACACTGGGCTGAGGAACCCCTGTCCCGTATCTGCCATATCGTGTCCAATGTGCAGGTACTCGACGCCCAGCCATCCACGTCAGAGCCGTCAGAAGTATCGGTCAAGTGCCGATTCATAATTTACCGTAACCGGGTTGAGACCGAGACTGACTTCCTCGTGGGCAAGAGGGAGGAACTGCTGAGAAGGGCCGGCGATGGCTGGAAGATAGCCCGGCGCAAAATAGTGCTGGACCAAAACGTGCTGATGGCCAAGAACCTGACCTTCTTTTTCTGATATGAGTGAAATAGTCAACATCCGGCTGCTGGAGCCGGGCACGAAAATCCGGTTGTCCAACGCCTCCACCGGTGAGGTGGTCACCAACTTCAATGACGGCGTGTGGGTCACCGTCCGGTTCCTGACTTCGCCGGACGACCCTTCTTTGGAAGGGACCGAAGACATGGTATTTGCCCAGGACATCTTGGAAGTCCTGGAAACTCCCTAGCCCCGCACGCCGCCCAGAATCTCTTTGTCTCGAATAAACGAGACCGCCGGTTACGAGGCTGCTGTGAACACCCTATGCTGACGCCCTCGAAGGAAGTGCTCCAACAGGCCTTCGCCGCCGGGTTCGATTCCATTGATGACGGCGATACTTTCTACCAGGGGTTCAACGCTTGCCTGTCAGCCCAGGGTTACGCGAAGCGGGAAGACATTTCCTGCACCTGCCCGGACCACGGCACCCACGGCCACCTGCCCGAGTGCCGCTGGGTCAAAGTAGAGTAACCATACCCCCTGGCAGCCGGACGTGGGCGCTTTACTGCCCCAGAAAGGCTAGGACTTCCCGGTTCACATATTCGGGACATTCCCACTGGAGGAAATGCCCGTAGTTCCCCAGGTTCCTGGAAACGGCGTTGGGGAATATCGCGTTCCACGCCTCCCCTATCGGCCGCGCTCCCGCGGCCACCGCAGTACGTTCCCGCCGCACTCCGTATAGGAACAGCAGAGGCATCGGCAATTGCCGGTCGGCGTCGGCCCTCCAATCGGGCGGGTCTTCGTAGGCCGCTGCCCGGTAGTAGCTGAAGCCGCCCCGCAGTGCACCCGGCTGCGAGTAGGCCCGCACATATTCCTGCACTTCTTCCGGGCTGGGCGGGTATTTGTTGATGGTCCAGTCCCGGAAAATGTGGCGCAGATAGATTTCCTCCCGCCCTTCAATCAGCTTTTCGGGCAGGTCGAACTGCTGGTGGAAGTAGGAGTGCCACCGTTCGCGCACCACCGCCGGAGCTTGCGGGCCCAGCTGTTCGATGGGAGGCGTGGAGTCCAGGAAGACCAGACGCTGCACTGCCTCCGGGTGGTCCAAAGTGAAGCGGAATGCAACCCTCACGCCGATGTCGTGGGCCACTATGGACACCTGTTCATGTCCCAACTGGCAAGCCAGTTCGTAAATGTCCGATGCGGCAGTGCGTGTGTCGTAGCCGCGGGCGGGCTTGTCCGAATACCCGAAGCCTCGCATGTCGGGAACAATCACCTGGAAGTGCTCCGACAGCACGGGGATCTGTTCCCGCCAACCGTACCAGAACTCGGGCCAACCGTGGAGCAGGACTACCGGCGCCCCTTCACCCTGAACGACAAAGTGGATGTTGATGCCGTTGACCGTGGCGGTCTTATGGTCCACATTCATTGTCATTGGTGTTTCCTTCACCGGCTCCTTCGTCACGCGAGTTCGGCAGTCGCAGCGCTTCGGTTGTCGAAAGCCACCTGCGCATCGGGAGCACCCCAGCTTCGACCCGGCGTGACCGCTAGTTGTCGGCGGCGGCAGCTTCTCTTGCCTGGCGTTCTTCTTTAGCCCGGAAATGCGGAATAACGTGGTCGCCGATGACTCGTATGGTATTCATAACCTCTTCGTGGTCTGCCGGACCGATGGCGGAAAGGGAGAACACCTGCTCTATGCCCATAGCCTCGTAGTCTTCAACGAACTGAATGCACTGGTCGGGCGTTCCCACCCAGAAAGACCTGCCCTGTTTGAGGACATCCTCTGCACGGCTGTCGCCCGGATGCGGCCCCGAAGCGAGCTTCATGTCTCTTTCGTAGTAGCCTTGGTAGTCGGGCGGGACGGTAGCGGGGTCAACGCCGCGCCAGACCAGGCGGGCGCGTTCCCGCTGCTGGTCCATGTACCACTGGACCAGTTCCGCGCCGCGGGTGGAGACCATCCCGGGGTCTTCGTGGCAGTAGCCCGCGGTCATCAACGCGGTCTGGTTGTTAATCATGCCGGCGACCGGCTTGGCTCGGTCTATTGTGTTGCGGTACAACTCGACGGTCGTGCGGACCTTCTCCAACCCGCCTTCGCTGCCCACGAGAGCGCCAAGACCCAACTCTCCAGCCCGAATGGCAGTGCTTTCGCTGGCGCAAGCGGACCACAACGGTGGGTGGGGCTTTTGCAGGGGTTTGGGCAATACCTCGCGGGGCGGGATCTGAAAATACTCTCCCTGGTAGGAAATAACCTCTTCCGTCCAGCTTCTGGGCAGCACCTGGGCAAACTCCTCCCACATGCCGCGGGTGTCTTCCAGGTCGCTGCCGTAGGGGGTCAGCTGGTAGGGATACCCGGTACGTCCGATGCCGACATCCACCCGGCCATTGCTGAGGATGTCCAGGGTGGCCATCCTCGCGGCAGTGTGCAGCGGATGGTGGATCGGCGCCAAAACCACGCCGATTCCCAGCCGGATGCGGGACGTACGCTGGCTGACGGCCGCCAAGGTCAAGTCTGGAGAACTGTTATGCGACCACACCGGCCGGAAGTGGTGCTCGGAAAACCAAACGCTGTCGAAGCCCTTCTCCTCGGCGTAAGAAATCTGCTCCAACGCCTCCCAGAACCGCCTGGCCTCGGTCTCGGGGCCCCAGGGTTTCGGGACCTGTATCTGATAGAACAGTCCGAATTTCATAGTATCCTCTCAGCTTGGCTTTCGTTGGTTATTGACTCTGGCGGGCGAACGCCAAAGGCCGGGGCTAAGAAACTATATCATCAAACCGTATTCCTGGCTTTCAAGCAAAGGCGGGCCAAAGCTGCACGTCAGTCGATGTCCAGAGAAATGCCTGGAATTAAGTTGGCGTTGACAGCAGCTTCCTCGACTGGAGGTATAGAGGCCATGACCGCCCTTGCAAGTATGTCCGGAGGGTACTTGTCCGGGGGTAAAGGAAGCGTATGAGACAATAGAGGAGACCAGGCGCAAATGGAAGGAGTCTGTATGCGGCAAGCCACTAAGCACTCATACCTGACCAAAGCGAGGGATGACTTCGGTACTGCCTTCGTCATAACTATTTGCGGCCAGCACTTGCCGGCAGAGTCTGAATCTGCCCTTTGGATTGAGGAATTTGGATCCAGGTGGCAGGAACAAAGACGCTCTGACCTCTGCCGCGATTGCGGCAAAGGAATGAATTTACAGGGGGTAAATTGAATCAGGAAAAGGAAGGCCTCAGCGACGCCGAACTCAGGGCCCATTCTCGTGGCGCGCAAGATGAGCGGAATAGGATAGCGCACCTGAGTTAAGAGCATGCTGAACGGCGACCAGCTAATTGTCCGCATAACCCTCTTCTACAGGGAGACCCTTACCGGCCACTTCATGGTGGACGGGCTGGCCGACAAGATAGGGTTGCTCCCCTGCTGGGCTGGCATCTTACGTAGCTACCCCCGACTGGTTCTCCGCCTTGCCCTAATCCAGCACTTGGAACAGGCCCACCACGATGGTCATGGCGGCGACAGTCGCGGGAAACCAGTTCTTGTAAAGCCAATACACGACGGGGCGGAGATGGCGCTGCCTCCGGTATTCCCAGCCTGAAGGGGTCAGCTGGAAATGGCGGCTAGAGTCGCCAACAAGCGAAACGTACCCTTGGGAATGAAGCTTGAGCGTTGCCTGCCTTTCCGCTGCTGCCGCAGGGTCTTCAGTCGCCGGGTTAACAGTCAAGACGACGTAATAGGGCGGCTGGTTCAGGCGCCGCAAAAGTACTGTTATGGCCCGTTCAACTTCCCTTTTGGGTTCCACTGGGTCGTCCGTTCTCATCTGGTCCTATACTCCTTTATCGCCCCTACCCTGGTGTGGTTCTCCGCCTTGCACCGCTGGCACACAATGGACCACGGTTGGCTCATCAGCCGCGCCAGCATCCGACCGCACCGCCAGCAGCGCGGCGCCTCGTCCGTTACCACCTGCCAGTTCCCAGGCACTGGCGCTGGCTCATCGCGCCCCCGGCAGGGCCAGCGGCAACTCGCTGGAGTAGGGCTGGAAGGAACGAGTACAGTTGGGGTGCTGCACTTGTGGAAGAAAACAGGCGAGTGTTTGTGGGTCCACCTGCCGACTCTCGAAAGGCTGGGAATTCCGGTTGCAGAAACAGGAGGGCCCCGAAAAAGGGCAATGAGAAGGGTTGAAGTCAAAGATCTGGACGACCTGCCGTCGCCGCCCGCTCAGCATCGCCTAAAAGCCGGCGCCCATCAGTATCCAGTTAGTACCTCCCTCTCGAGACGAGCACAGCTCCCTCCGAATCCATGGGTTTCAGTAATTCCCGGGCATCAGCGGCTTCAAGACGGTCCAGCTTCGCAATCTGCTCCAGCGTGCTTCCCATGCGGATGGCCACGGTCCGGAATACTCGCCATGACCCCCGACCGTTCACGGCCGCATAGGGGCCCTGTTCCAGCAGTTCCACCATGCGGGTCATGTTCCCCACCTCCCGCGGGCTGGCTTTCCACATGGTACCTCTCCACCAACTGGTGGGACGAGACATCGACCGCACCACAGTGCCATGGACGTCCTTCATGCCCCAAATGTCCATGATGCTCAGGGCCACGTGGTCACTCCGCTGGCCCTGGGTCTCCGGAAAGTGGCGGTTGACCATCGCCGTCGTTGCCTTGCGATGAACGGCGTTCCGCAGGTTGACTATTCTGGCAGGGGCGTTGGAGCCTGAATTGTCCTGGGGTTAAACTCGCTCTCCATGGGGGCTTCCTTACTCCTCTACCGATCCTAGAACCGCCTTCGCCGCTTGGCGAACAGGAACAGCCACAGGCTGAATACCAGCAATGCCGCCCCCGATGCCATTAAGAGTATCGGCCATATCGAGAGGCCGCCGTCCTCCAACTCAGGGCCAAGTTGGGCTTCCATGGCAACCGGGACTGGCGTGGGTTCGGTCCTTTCTTCAGATCCACTGGCCTCGGGCGTCGGGTTCACCACTTCCCCTGCTTCGGCCACAGCCTGAGGCATCAGCAGGGGTATCTTTATCCCCTCCGATTCTACGGTAGGTGTCGGTTCCGGCTCGGCCTTCGGTGCCGGGTTCAGAGTCGGGGTCGGTTGCACCTCTCCCCGCAGCGTAGGTACAGGCGTTGGCGTCGGGACGGGCGTTGCCGCGGGCTGCTCCGGCGTCAACAGCGCTGCCAGAGTTGTGACTGCAAAGCAATCAGGCGAGGTCAGGTCAGCAATAGTAATGATGACCCTTCCCTCGTCATCCACCGCCAGGCTGAATCCAATCTGGGACCATTGCAGGGTTATGTAGTTTCGGGCGTAGACGCTGAACGCGCCCCGTGCGTGGGCCGCCAGGACTGCCTCGGCACCCCCGAAGGAGTCGGAGTCCAGCCGCAGTTCACCGTTGCCGCGTTAATCAGGACGACCGCGTGCTCGCGGGTCCCCCACTGGTCAAAGAACTCCACGGTCAGGGAGGCCTGCAGCTCCTCGTCGCCAGGGTCGAAGCCGCACCGGGTCGACGCAGAGTCCAATCGGGCCCAATAGTAACCATCCTGGGACTGGGCC